TTGTAATTTCGAACAAAGTTTTCTTTTATTTATTACTAAGGTCGATGGTCCATTCGTTTGTAGCCAAACACTCAAATATAAAGTAAAAGTTCCCCCTCGGCTCAAGTCCGTCCCAGCAGCAAACGAATAGGAGCAGTTTTAGAGTCAAAATGATTAAGTAAAAAGTTTTTTGAAAACATCACAGAATTCAGACGATTTCATGCCCAACCAAATATAACGTGAAGATCTTCAAGCTAATTTAGGCTTAATCCCAGCAGCCAGTATCATGTATGAAAGCTAATTGTGTGTGATTGCCTTTTGTATAAAAAAAAAAGTCCTCATATCTGGAGATAGGAAAAAAATTATTCTATTTACGAATCGATGGATGCACATTTTTTTTGTTTTACTTTTCAAGAGAATATAAGTTCCGTGGCGAAAGGAAAGCTATCCTCTTCTCTGATGCTTTATTTAAGCACTGTCATAAGCACTGCTCGGGCTGATAAGAAATTATCAATCGAAGACAGTATTAAATAGAAGGTATCTGCCTAACACGGATACAGCGGCCGCATTCCAATTCGTTTCTTCTATTGGATTTAGTTTTGTTGTATGAAGTCATATCGGATCATGCTGAAAAAGAAGCCTCAATCTCATCAATTGTGGTTGGTAGTATTTCTTAGTAACGGGTTTGTTTAGCTAACTAGCAACTAATAAACGCACTAACTTATGGTCAATGTTGTTGATTCACGTAGTTTACATTTACGGTGTTTTGCGCTCTCGATATTCTAAGGCACTTATTGTTTACACCATCCATTAATAATTCTACTGCTGCTAACTATTCTTCGAATTAAGGAGAAGAAGTTACGCTTCCTCATTTTTCTTTTATTGGTATAGAATTAACTAGACCTAATGTTGTTCACAAATCAGCGAAATAACTTATACTTCTGCGTAAAGCTTAAAAAGGAGACCCCAACAGATCACAGGGTAAAACAAAATCCGTTTCTTATGAAAATCTATGAGGAGTGAGTTCACTAATTTACTGTTTTGTCTAAGCTTGTATATTATTAAGTTTTTTTCTTCACATACACTTCAACCAGAAGTTGATAATAGTTTGCATTTTGAACGACTGCAACGTTGTTTGTTTGTTATCAATCGATTTACTGCCGAAACTAACATAACAATCATAAGAATTCATAGAAAATCTCGTTTCTAGGAGGCCTCTAAACCGGGTATGTACCAAATGAATGATTACTTTTATTCTGCTCAACCTTTTTTGCACATAAAGCATAGACTAAAAGTGCCTTCATGTGTTATATGATTATTGGTTCTCATAACTTTCTCTTAAAAGCTATGATATACATATTTAGTTCTTGTGCTCGCTATGGTAAATTTACTTATTTTGTATACCTGCCAACCCATCCATTGGTAATGAAAGTATTCTCAATTTCCTTAAACCGTAAAGTTTTTTGCTTGCGTAAAGCTGCCCTCATCTGTCGGACTTGTCGTCTTAATGTTAAAATCTTCCAAATTTTAAACTTGCAAGTCGAACGAGAAGTCAATTGAGTAATACCAGCAAGTCTTATAACTAACGGTAAAATTGATTATCAAAATTTTTCATCTAAAGTATTACAAAATAAATAAAAAGAAAAGTTTTACTTTACCTTTACTTTGCCGTACATCTTACAATTCAATATTTAAAATTGCAAAACTTTTAACCAAAAAAAAAAAAAAAAAAAATACCTGAAATCATTTGCTATTTTCTCTTCATTCATAAATTTTTATTATTATTTTCTATAAGTATTTTGTCGATTTCATTGTCGTTCGTCTTATTTCGATGAAGTTTTTATCTTTAATATAATGATCTTATTGCTATAAACGCAGCGAAAATTCGACAATGAAATCAATGATACATTTATTGCTTTTGAGTTTAATGATAATTTGAATTTTTTCATTTTACCGCATTCCCAAAGAAATGTGAACTTTCATACCGCAAATCGATAGAGACCAATAAAATCGTACAAAAGTACACAATAAATTATTATCAAATTGAAACAGATAAAGATTAACTCTCCCTATAACAACGTGTTTTATATTATTTGTTACCCTTTCCTTGCGCACACATCATAGTGATACCACCTAGTACAGTGAAAATGTAAATGTATGTCAGTCAGTCTCTCAATTCGTGTTCATTTCTTATGGAAACTTGGCCACAACTCTCAAGTTTTTTCAATGCTTTTTATAGTCACTACAGCGAACGTATTAAGTTTGTCAAACGCGCTAACAAAGCATAAAAAATGTAAAGCAAAGTCGATATGAGTTGTGTATTATAATTTTATTCAATGGGAAATCTATTATCGCGCCTCTATCATCTATTTAAGTCATTGTTATCCTATCGAATAATGATAATGAATTTTTTTTAGTTTTTTTATTTATCTTTTCATGGCCTATTAAACTACGTTGAATTTATGTAATAGTGGCTGGTGTCTCATTAAAATTATAATTACACTCTCTCTCTACATTTTTGATCTTAGGCTTTAATTTCGATCGCGTGAAATTAAGAAACTATCGAAATCGGTTCGCTGGCTTGACCACAAATTGGCAACAACTTAAGAACTCGAAAAGTTTATTGCTACCTTTTGATTGCTTGACCTTGCTACAGGTGTAGATTATTGCTTGTGTACGGAGTAAGCAAACATTACGCGTAAATATATCATAATATATCTATCATCAAATACGATATTTATATACATATAGATATATGTCAGATATACGTATTTGGCAAAGCCTTCATATTAAATGACTAAACTTTGTATCTGGCATATTCTTACACAAGTATGAAAATAATAAAATGAAAATTATTGAATTAACTTGTAACACGTGTTTCTTGCACACGGTACAGTGTAAACCTATTCTATATACTTATATGATATTTGCAGTTAGCATTTTGCGTGCAATTCTATTCGGTGCAAGTTTCTCTTCTTTTATTTACTTACGTCTGAGCATCATCGCGTTACACTTATGAGCCAATTATCCGCTTCGCGTTACACGTGTGAAGGACATCCACTGAGTGATTGATCAATTTCGTGTTACATCTATGGGAGAAATTTCCTAAGTGATTGATCAATTTACAAAAAAAAATACAAAAGTAAAGCATGTTCGTCCTATACATCAGTAGGCGTATAACTTTATCAGTTTTCTTCCTTGTATAAATATTGTAAAAAGATTTGCGATATTTTTGTCAAATGCTGTTTGTACAGTAGGATGTTTTTATTATTTCATCGTATTCATGTAATCTTAAGCGAAGGGTATCGAAAATTCAGTGGCAAGCGAACGCAATAATTTTCTAATATTTTTTTTTTCTCGTTGCCTTTACTTGTTTGTTTTTGCTGGTCACATTATTGTTGCCGCTGCGTTTCTGTTATAATACATAATTGTTTTACGTTTCCATTTCACTGATCCACAACATTCATCCTATGGCGCCATTCTCTCAAACAGAAAATAAACAATAAAAATCTCTTTAGTTTTCTGCATTTTTGTTATGGTTCATTTGTTTCGCTACACATAAACACAATTTTGGGTGTTTGCAAAGAAAAACAACAACAATAACAACAACAATAACAATAGCAATAGCAACATCAATAGCAATGAAATTTATTTGAGTTCCTTCAAAAAGGAAAATCGACTAAATCGTATAAATTCAAATGCAGTTTACACATTGACTTCATTCAGTTGGCAAAACAATCGCAGTCAAGGTCTCCCACTTTGTTTACAAAAAAAGAAAAAAGGCAAAAAAAAAAGAAAAGAGCAAAGAAGAAGATATAAAAAAACGAAAAAAACCATCAAACCGACAAACGAATAAAGGGGAGACAAAAAAGGATAAATATTAAATTTTTTGTGTTGTCCAAGTGTTTGCAAAAAAAAAAAAGAAAAAAAAAAAAGAAAGGAAAAATAGAAAAATACGGAAAAGAAAATAAATTTCAGAAAATATAAAAAGAGGTCATAATTTAAGAAATCAATATGGCATTAAGATATTGGGTAAGAGGATCGAAAGTGAGACTTAAAAGCAAAAATTCGTATCTAAGAAATCTAATAATAAATAGCTTTAGTTTTATAGCAAACCTCATGTGTGTAGTCGCTTTAAAAGTGTAACTTGTTTAAAAACGAACTCTTCATCAGCTGGCATCAATCGATCTATCAATCGAAAGCCAAGGAATAGCTAATAGACGGACCGAACGACCGACTGACGGACCGACCATATTCAAATGTTACATAGCTAACGGCCTTATGCGGTAAAGGAGATTGAGGTCGTTAACCAACCACACTTCTCAAAGCAATCGTCATTATAATAAATAGTTTAGCGAGTAGAAATTGCAGAATGCAATTACATACGTGTGTATGTATGTATGTGTGTGTATGTATGATATGTGTGCTTTATATGGGCGATGGGCACATGTGTTGTGCTGGCAATGCTTAAATGGCATCATTATCATCATACAAAGAGAGAAAAAAAAATGGACAGATTCTATAGCGTAATAGACGAGATGAGATATGTGGACAAGCAATGCATATTTTTCAAATACCATATAGCAAACACCCCTATAAATAAACTTACTACGTAAATGCTAGTGTATGTATGTCTTCTGCCAATACACACACTGCATACTTTACTCAATATACATACATGCAAATATATATATATATGTATACATATATATGTATATATGTATATATATATATATAAACTTATGTCCATGCCATTTATATTATAACACATTCTTTACTTTATTTCCTTCATTTTCTTCGTTTCTCTTCTTTTTTTTTTTTTTTTTTCTTGCTTTTACATCATCTCTATCTTCTTCCTTGGTCGTTACATATATACATATATGTAGCAAATGTTGTTCTCATTGGTAGCAACAATGTCAATTGTCTGCAGTGCAGCAACCTCTTCGCGATTGATAAAGCATATAAATGTGGCCTCATATACCCAGATAAACCAACCAACATTTTCAACATTGAAACAGAGTATGGCTAATCGATTGCCGCGTCACATAGTGCGAGACTATCAACAAGAACAACAACAGCAGCGGTCACAGCAGCAATACTATGATAAACAACCAGATGAACTTTTAGCACCGTCACCATCGACTACAATAAAAAGAAGTTATTCAACGGGCGGCAACGGTGGAAGTATATCAGCAGCAGCTTTTAATGCTCTCTCGGGCTTGCAGCACATTACGAGCAATGGCAATGTCGGCCATAACTATGAATCTGCTATAAAGGACTCGGCATTCCATCCACAATACACCGAAGCGAAACCCATTTATGAGCAACACTCTGACAATAGCGAATACGGTAATTATGGTGGCGCTGGGGTTGATAGTCATGCTTTGCATTCCGCTATTTATAATTTACAAACGGCTGGTGCGCATAACAGTGATGCAAGTAGCAGCGGAAGTGACAGCAGCTACATACACCCTTGGAGTGTAAGTAAACTGACAGCTTCCTCAGTTTCATCGCCGCCGTCCGCTTCAGCTTCGGCATTTCACAAACTCTCATCGTCAAGCTTCAATGATAAAATCTCTGAGGGCAATTTTCTGCATCATTACGATTCATCTTCCGGTTACAATGAACTTTCACAGCAACCGCACAGCTATGTTAGTTCGGTTGAATCGCATTCCGGACCCTCGTCAAGCGGTGGCGGCGGTGGGGATTCGTACACTTCAAGCAGTTACGAGCATGATGAACATGAACAGGATAACACAAATTTCGCCGCCTCTCTGCCGGCATCTTCACACTCTCATACCGATGTTATTAATTATGTTCCATATCCAGTGGTCAAGAAATTGCATGTTCCCGTTTCCGAACCAATTAAAATACCGGTATCGCATGCTGTTATAATACCCGTAAGTAAACCGGTACCTATTCATGTACCCGTTACTCAAACCGTACAGGTGCCCGTTGAAAAAGAACTAAAAATACCTGTCGAACGGGTAATACCGTATCCCGTCGAGAAACATGTACCAGTCCCAGTCGAGAAAAAAGTGCCGTACACGGTGGTAAAATATATGCCAATTAAAGTGCCCCAGCCGTTCCCCGTTAAGGTGCCTGTCTTCAAGACTATTTTGCACAAAATTAAAAATAGTTGGTAAACAAAGTTTCATGCTATCATTCAATGCATTCAACGTTTACCAAACAATTGGCATTTTTTCTTTCTTTTTTCTTTTTTTTTTTTTGTGACCAATGATGTGCTCTCTGATATATTTGCATATAACATGTACTGAGTATTTTTATAGTTTAATTTATAATTATTGTATACGTAATTTACTCTTAAGTTTAGTTATTAAAAACAACATTAAAACAATCACATAATTGTATATTAAATTTTTAATACCATGTGTGCTCGACGAGATAATTATACTTTAAGATTAGAGATGAAAATCATTAATTTTAACGTAGTTGAGCCATGTAAACTTTGGCATCATTTCATTACGGATAGATTTCCAGAAGATCGAGAAATAATCGGCACGATTTTTGAGAAAGAGAGAGAGAGAGAAAGAGGGAAACATCGGGACGCCATCTTAAAGAATAACTAAAATACGAAAGCGTTTTGATAACTCAAGAAGCACAGGTTGGACGACCAAGGGTCAGTTTACTAGTTAGTTTATCTGACGGAACACAAAAACATTCAGTTTTCTTGGGTTGAAGGTACACAACTGCTTATGTACCGGACTATGGTTTTCATTCGTTGTATTTTCAACGAACTATTCGAGATAGCAGTTGTAGAGAATTGTAAAACCACTCCAAGATTATTTGTGCTTTGATAAATTTGTAATTGCTCTGAGAGGCTATAGTAGACGCCATTCCACCTAAGCGTGCGTACTTTAAAACAGTTTTTATAATTCTCACATCTCCCTTTCTTTTAAGAGCTTCAGTAACGGTAGATAGGCGATTGGACGCCGTTTTCCAGTTCAGTCATCTCTTTGTTGTTTGTCGGTGTTCATAAGTCCATATTTGATCCTACCGAGAAATAACAGTTTCCGAAAGAGAGAAGTTGCCAATACAGAATTTGAACGGTATTTTTACACAACAAAAGCGAAATTCGAATTTTTTCCATTCACATGAAAATAACATAAATAACTTGATTAAAATCTCTGTAACTTATCGTTGTAATGAAAGCAAAAATTTTCGTAATTTAACTTTAAACGAGTTCGGGAGAGCAGATCTTTTAAAGATCCTTTAGGGGGTACGAATAGCACGATCAAGGCGGATTCCCATCAGTGTTCTTGATTTTCTCGATATTCATTGGATACATGAATGACAAGAGGGCACGATTAACATACGAGTACTGTGGATGGTCGCACAGTCGTATTTTCTCTTTAACTTATTTTCTAAAATATACGCAAGATTTGAGTTTGCCGCTACTTGTGGAGCAAGTTGTTAGCAACCCAGAAAAAAAAAATAGTATGAATGGCTAACAATTTAGAGTTGGAAAAAATCGAGCGTTATATGACAAACCAGTGTTGAAACAAGCCAAACATCTCATGAAACAATTCAATTACTTCCTGCGACATGCCCTGATCGCCTACTCTCTCCCCCAGATCATGTGATTTAAAATCTTTAGATTTCTTTTTACGAGAGTATATGAAGTCAAAGATCTATGCCAATAAGTCTACAATCATCAGAGCTTTGAAGGGGACAACAACAAAATTTAGACACATTTAGGTGAAATGATGTTGGAACATTTTCAATAAAAGAGTTCGTATATATCCATAAGTAAAGGCGTCGAAGATGCGAATTTGGCTGCTTAGCTTCCTCGCTTATTTTCCAAGAGACTAATATTAAATATAATTCGGTACATAACAAATTTTAATTTCGTCTTCATAAGTGACATAATCTCCGTAAGTATCTCCATAAATGACAAAATTCAAATTTTTTTTTTCTATGACAAAACTATGTCTACTTATTTTCTTATTCTCCCATGTTGGATATAAAAAATATATACGAAAAAATTAATCGGTGGAGATGGGCGGAGATGGAAATGATTCTTCGAAATTTCGCATTCAAGTTTTATGAAAGCAAAGGAAAAATTCAATCTCTTGTGAATAAAACAAAATGCTATGTAACTGTTTAATTTTTCCCCTCTGAAGCCTGGTGAGCAATTACGCAACGCATTTATTTCTTATTCACCTAAAATAATAATTTATTTAATCTAATCTAAAACTTTGTGTATTAAATAAGCTTTTTGTATATGTTTCCTTAATTGTATGAGAAACAAATTTTACGATTGCGAAATTCAGGTTAAACAAAACACGCTTTTATGTTACATAATAGAAAGCGACTTCCAATTTACCTAAAATGCTATCAAATTGAATTCGTTAACTTTACCATAATCGTATAAATTAAGTAAAGTAATTAGTTTAAAGGCTTTTAATAACTAATCTAAATAATGTGATCTGAAAAATAAATGTTTAGACCTTAGATCTTAGTTAGTATTATCCTTTTTTGTGCGAAAGATGACAAAGATCCTAACATAGTTAATATATTTTTTGAAAGAAAGCGTATCGAACTTTCCTATTTCGGTAGAGCATAGCGTGTTTTTTCTGTATGAATTGTTAATTAAGATAAGTATAAGGGATTTACATTTTAATAATTTAAGCACATATCAAACTTCATACATAGAACTTTGTATGCATACTTGAAAACACGTAATAAGCCCAATATGACCTAAAGGAAAACATTAGTGAGAAACGGTAGGTGTATGCTACATAAATATATAAGCACGCACCTTTAATAATGAATGGTTAACTAGTGGAAAACTCACTGGTTTTTCTAATTCAAAAATAACTAATTGAGACAAACGAAACGATACAATTTATGATAGAATTTAACTAAGAGCACGAGCTAAAGTTTATTTTTGCCATATTAATATACATGAGCTTCTGACTTACAAAAAGGACAAACAATAAAAGGAATAAGAAAATTGAGAAAGTTATGGGCGGCTGTGGATGAATCTTCTATGCCCACCATCTTAATCTTAAACTTGAAAAAAAACAACCCTCTAAACCCTCGACACTCTGTAATGATTGACTTTTTCCATTTTTGTACAGATCTTGTGATATATATATATATATGGCGAAATTTTTATCATTGTATCTATGTGACGGATGAACAAAAAACCTCATCTTCTTTGCTCTTGCTTTGCTTTGCTCAGATTCATTCTCATTCATTTATGCTTCACTGTGGGCGTGTTCTTTGACCGACTTGGCTTATTTTCAATATCAATCTCCGAGCAAGAGCCTGTAATGTTTCTGCCAAATTTGAAGTCACATACCAGGACGATGCACAGACGAAATGGCTAACGCACTAACGGACGAATAAGAAGACCAAGAATATATGTGTATAGGTATCTATATGGTTTCTGATGTTTCTTTCTGGGTGTTTCAATCATTTCGCGCAACATGAGTGTACTCACACTTTTCGATGGCTATATAGTATATAGAGTATACTATGTTAACCCTTATTTGTTAGAGAACATGTGAAAGGACTTGTTATAATAGGACAATAGTTAAAGTTTGTTAATCCCCCTCCATTATTACTTTGTTGCTTATCTTTCTATCAATTGTCGTGGGTTCAAATTTCAAGTGCAGTAGAATTTTTAATAAAAATCGAAAGCCTTAGAGCACTAGTGCTTTAGTCTTGGAATTTATTCTCTGACGGATAATAACAAGAATGATAATAAAAGGTGTAAAAAGACAAGCAAAGCTGCGCCCGAACCTTTTATACCCGGTATTTTTATCTTAAAAGAAAAAAGGAATGGAAAAGAGATGGAACGTCCAAATTGTTTCCATCTTTGTGCTATGAAAATTGTACCCGGAAATTTGTATTGTGGTTGTGTTTGTTGAAAAAAGACGTCTTCTCAATTTACGTTATAGTGCAGGTTTGCCCGCTTCCAATACCAATACGGTCATCAGGGTTTCCAATTTTTTTTTTGCCGCATTTCAAGACGATATTTTAATTTTTGCGTCGAGGAGTGAATTCATGACAGACAGGCATAGATATGTTTGCGAGAAACACAAAAGCACAGCCAAACGGGCAGATCGGCTGGAGAATTTGATACTCTGGAGATTTTCTAAAGTTTCCTTTTGCGCTTTGCAAACATATTGACATAACAAATACATTTTCATCTTTCAGTGAATAATACACAAATAGCATAACAATAGCAAAAAATTATTAATCTTACTGTAAATATTTTACAAGTCCATCATAGAGACACGTTTTGCGAGACATGTACTTATTACAGATGTTGTGTACGTGCGCTTTTGCCTGTATCTTTCTCCATCTGACGTACGTGTCCGATGTTCGAGAGTGACGTCTCTTAGCTTATTAAATACAAAAGAACAGATAGGGACAGAAAAAATGTCATATGCCCTTGAAAAGATTTATAGATCTATAATTATAGGCTCTAATTAGTGTCACCGATACCTAAAACGAATGTATCTGAAGTAAGTATACGTCATTGTCTTACTTTAAAGGGCTACGCGTCTAAACGATCTATCAGACGTGCATCGACTCCCGTTGTGACGTTCCTTGGACGCTTCAATTACATTTTGGTAATAAGCATTAAAACAATTACATCAAATAGATGCAGACCGTTATGTTCTTTCAATCTGACTTATGGAGATCTTATGCCCCAATCTGAGTTATGGGAGCTTGGGGCCATGAATTTAATATTTCCTCTGATCCCTCGATTGTCTGCGTAGGTTACCATCGCTTTAAGGGGAAAATGATGTGAAATGCTTGCGCTTGCTTACATTTTCATGATCTGGCTGCCCATGCAATGCATTATTGCCTCGTCCCTTACTTTGCTTACAAAATCTAAGGAAACGAGTAAAAAGGAGCTTAGGATTAGACTTTCACAGTTCGTCTAACTTCCTGTCACAGTCCGAATTATTTCGGTTTAAATTACTAACTTCCCACTTACTATTGCAGTCTGATTAATTTATTTTACTTTTATTTCTATTTCAGATTAAATTCCATTCATTTCATAACTTTGTCGAAACAACTGGAGGATAAACAAGTAAGTAAACAAGTTTGTAACAGTCAATGACCGCTTACATTTTGTCCACTTGAATGAATGTGAATAATGAGA